GGGGACGCGGGTTTGCTCCCCGGTCAGGGAACTAAGATCCCACATGCCGCAGGGCAACTGAGCCCTTGCGCTGTGGATCCCATGTGCCACAACTAGAGAGAAGCCCGCATGCTGCAACTAAGACCCGACTCAGCCAAATAAATAAAGAAAAAAATATATTTTTTTTTTTAAAAAAAGGAGAAGATGTGTGTGCTCTGAATCCATCTCCTCACAGAGCTGCATGAACAGATGTGAGTTAAGGGCATGTACTTTAATGTGGTTGATAATTTTAATCACATCCTGCAAAATGTTGTTAAGTTCAGGTGACATTTTTTGGCTAGCCAGCAGTTCTCTATGGATGACACGGTGCGTAGGCTCACATTCAGAAGTGACCTCTTTGACCCGAGTAGTGAAACCAGAAAGCCATCCAGCCGTGGCAGCCGCTCTGTCCATGCATATACCGACACAAAATGACCAGTTCAGTTTTCCTGATATGTAATTGTTCAAAGACTTGAATAGTTCCGCAGCTGTGGTGCTGGTTGGCAACAAAAGTGCACATAACATATCCCCATGCACACCTTCCTGTCAAACCTCTCTGCTAATGATAATCTATATTTGCAGTTGTTCTCCACTGCTAGCATCACTGCCTCAGCTCCACCTCAGATTATCAGGCATTAGATTCTCATAAGGAGTGCACAACCTAGAGCGCTCACATGCACAGTTCACAGTAGGGTTCGCGCTGCTCTGGGAATCTAATGCTGCAGCTGATCTGAACAGGAGGCGGAGCTCAGGCGGTAATGTGAGCAATGGGGAGCGGCTGTAAATACAGATGAAGCTTTGCTCGCTCCCCCACTGCTCACCTCCTGCTGTGTGGCCTGGTTCCTAACAGGCCACAGACCAGTACCATCTGTGGCCCTGGGGTTGGGGACCCCTGTTATAGAGCCATTACGAGCTTTTAAAGTAGAGAAGTGGAGTTTTAGATTCATCTGGTGTGTATGTAGGATGGATCGAAAGGGGAGGGATTGATATTAGGCAGGGGGACCATTTAAGAGGCTGTTTTACTGTTTAAGACAAAATAATTTACAATGCTCTTGGAATCTTAGTGTTTTAAGGAGGGAATAAGCCTACTGATTGGGGAATTAGACTTACTGTTCATCTTCTTTAAGAAGAAAAATGGTTTACTGATAGAATTATTCATTTAAAATGGTATTTATGCATAAGATAAGTGAGATTAAGAAGAAATCAAGTTATCTTAAATTAATTCAAGGCTCCATATGTAGATGATTTATATGTTAGTGTGCAGAAGGAACTTGAATTTATGGCATATGTTGATAAACTAGGGAGAATGGAGAATGTTTCAGAAGACTACAGGTGAGCAAAATCTAGACTTTCAAAAGGAGAAAATGGTGCATTCTGTGCAGAATGCTAAACTTGATAATCAGTGCCTTATCACAATTCTTCAGTGAATTATTAAAGAAGAGATGTATGAACTTTAAAAAAAAAGAGTAGAGGGACTTCCCTGGTGGTCCAGTGGTAGAGAATCCACCTTCCAATGCAGGCGATGCAAGTTCAATCCCTGGTCGGGGAACTAAGATCCCACATCCTGCAGGGCAACTAAGCCCGGGCGCCACAGCTACTGAGCCCCCGCACCTGAACTAGAGAGCCTGTGTGCCGTAAACTACAGAGCCCACATGCTCTGGAGCCTGTGCCACAACTAGAGAGAGAAAACCCACGCGCCACAACTACAGAGAAGCCTGCACACCGCAACTAGAAAGAAGCCCTCATGCCTCAACGAAGAGCCTGCTTGCCACAACTAAGACCGGATGCAGCCAAAAAAAAAAGAATATAGAGTCCAGGTATAATCCTAGAGCAGCTTGTGAAGCGCACATGATAAAACATTTTATAGTTAATCTGAAAGACTAAAGACAGAGAAATAGCCAGAAAGATTCTGAATAAGTAAACTCTTAGATATTAAAATGTATCATAAATTTTAAATAGTGTATTGGTACCAGAAACAGGCCTAACTAAGTAAATGTAATCTTGGTATATGATAAAGGTGGCATTTCAGATTGGTGAGGAATATATAGGTTATAAATTTTCTTAGGACAACTGAGAAAAGAATAAATTCCAATTTTATATCCTCCAAGAAAAAGAAAGACTTAGATGAATTGAGTATTTAAATATAAACAAAGATACATTGACAATACTTAAACAAAAAAAAACTATAAATTTTTTTAAACTTTTTATTTGATATTGGAATATAGCTGATTAACAATGTTGGGATAGTTTCAGGTGCACAGAAAAGGGACTCAGCCATACATATGCATGTATCCATTCTCCCCTAAATTCCGCTCCCATCCAGCCTGCCACATAACACTGAGCAGAGTTCCCTGTGCTGTACAGTAGGTCCTGGTTATCCATTTTAAATATAGCAGTGTGGACATGTCAATCCCAAACTCCCTGACTAACCCTTCCCCCTTCATTCCCCCTGGTAACCATAAGTTCGTTCTCTAAGTCTGTGAGTCTGAAGAAACTATAAATTTTAATATGATCTAGAGTTTTTAATTAATTAATTAATTAATTAATTAGGCTGTGTTGGGTCTTCGTTGCTGCGCACGGGCTTTCTCTAGTTGTGGTGAGCGGGGGCTGCTCTTCATCGCAGTGCACAGGCTTCTCATTGTGGCTGCTTCTTTTGCTGTGGAGCACAGGCTCTAGGCACACAGGCTTCAGTAGTTGTGGCTCGCGGGCTTTAGAGTGCAGGCTCAGTAGTTGTGGCGCAGGGGCTTAATTGCTCTGCGGCATGTGGGATCCTCCCGGACCAGGGCTCGATCCCGTGTCCCCTGCATGGGCAGGCAGATTCTTAACCATTATGCCACCAGGGAAGTCCCAAAAGAACACTTTAGAAAAAATTGAGTACCTCAACAGAAAAATGGGCAAAGGCAGAAATTCGTATGATTATAAAATACATGAAAAATATAAATCCATACTGACAATCAAAGAAATGTGTTTTAATACAACAATGAAGAATCAAGGAGTTGTGCTTCTTTCTTTGTTTTGGCCTATCATATCATATTGGGTAAAAAACAGTTAAAAGAATCATAGGACAGAATTGTTGAGGGATAGGGAACTAGTGTCATGGTGCTGTCAGACTGAAAACTAGTATAGTTTTTCTAGAGGACACCTTGGCAGTTTGTATCAAAAATCTTTTAAAAGTTTGACACCAGGGCTTCCCTGGTGGTGCGGTGGTTGGGAGTCCACCTGCCGATGCAGGGGACACGGGTTCGTGCCCCGGTCTGGGAGGATCCCACATGCCGCGGAGCGGCTGGGCCCGTGAGCCATGGCCGCTGGGCCTGCATGTCCGCAGCCTGTGCTCTGCAATGGGAGAGGCCACGGCAGTGAGAGGCCCACGTACTGCAAAAAAAAAAAAAGTTTGACATCAGACATTTCACTTTTACGAATTTATGGGGAATGAATGAAACGGGTTCATTGTAGCATTGGAATGAATGCTACATACATAATGGAAATATATGTAACGGAGCCATTAGCAATGAAGTAGATCTATATTTATTGATATAGAAAGATGTTCGTCATATGTTAAATGAGTAAAGCAGGTATTCAAACAATCTATACAATATGGTTGTATTTTTTGAAGATGGGATTCCGATTCAGTAATTTTGAGGAAGGTCCTGCAATCTACTTTTAAAAAATGTCTCATTTCCCATTTGGGGACAAATGCTGGAATAAACCACCCTGCATGTTGTAGCCAGACAAATCTCCTTTTTTCCTTTTCCCTTCTCCCTCTTCCTGTGTTTAGAAACATAGTGGCTGCATCTTTACTACCAAGTCAAATATGCTTTGGTGGTGTACTCACACTTAAAAGAATTCAGTTTTACACTGGGGAGTAAGAGGGAGAGTGATGGTGTGGTGGGAGGGAGAGCGAGGGTTTTATTTGCTTCATTGCCTTCCCTTCCCCCCAAGTCCCTTCATACCAATTAGCCCTCATCCTCCACTGTCATAGGAAAAGATATTTGTAAAGAAAAATGAGGCAGTTCGTGGCCTCAATTGTTGTTAAGGCAATTAAAGGAGTTCTAGAGGGTTATTTTCTCTCTTGAGTTTTGGCTCTGTTAAAACTTTAGCACACTCTGCCCCACCTGCCCTGGCCCAGCTTTCCTGATGCTCCATTATTGCCTGGTCCCAACTAAGCCCATCATCTTGTCATCTTTCACTTTTAAGGTGCTCTTTTCTTTCTCCTTGCTTTTGCAAATTTTTTTTTTTTTTTTTTTTTTTTTT